ATAAATACCTATATAAAAAGACATTATTTTTAAAATATTCCTCGAACTGTTCGAGTACGTAGTTAATCAAACTAATGTCAATTTCTCCTGATTTCCCCATACTATATAAATTTAACCGTGGCAACATTATGTCGCGCGAATACAGCGCTGCGTCTGCGGGACTTCTTTCGTGAAATGGACTCTAAGTTACAATTCATAGTTCGTTTTATTTAACAGTTTAGTTGTACTTAATTTTAAGTTGTAAATATTTATGAAGTTATTATAGTTGATTATAATTGCTTCAAAAAAAAAATTCATAAATTAATAATAGGGGTATGTACTGGGGTAGGCCGCAAGTTGCATATACGATTTTGGTTATACAAATATCATGCAAAGTTTAACCTGATCAAGAAAAATATATCTGTCTCATTCTTACACGTTTTAAATTTCATATGTAAAAACAGATATGCATAAATCATAAACTTCAATTTCTGGAATTTTTTTCATATGACGTCCCCAAGCTCCGCCTTGAGGCCCATTCCGCCATTTAAGAGAGACAAATCCGGTCATGTTTTGGGTAGACCATCTGTCGACAATACGGTTTTTGGAAATATTTTCGGTGTTACAGTGGACTGTTTCGACTTTCGATATTGATAGAGCTTTTTTGCCAATAAGTGAAATGAATCTGAACCTGAACTATCATGAGCAAGTGTTGCATCAAGGACATGTAATTCAAATTCACGTAAAAAAGAGAAGGATTGGATTGTCATGTTTTAGGTTAGTTCTATTTTCTTTGTTATTTATGTATTCTTCTTGTGTAAATTATAAGTCTTTATTATCACTTCTAATTCGGGTTTTCTGCCATTATGTATATATTCACATATATTGAACTAGTAAACATTTTAATTGTTTACATTTTATTCATAGTGCTGATCTTCGTTTTATAAAGTTATCTATAGCAGTATTAGCAATAATATTGACATAGCCGTCTAGTTACAACTACAATATTTTTATTTGTTTTTGTATACTTTATTTTATTTGCACATAATGATGATTAAATTTGATTTTAGATTTCATCTAAAATCAAATAAAAATTAATTCCGAACAATATGCTCCAATCATTTTGAAGAAGATTGTGTGAACAGAACATTGAATATTATTCGACTTCAAGATAACGTACTTCCTACTCTTTTTGAGAATGGCCAAATTTTCAATAACTCTATCAGTGAACATGATAGTTCTCATAAACTGTTATTCTTACATGTTTACATATAAGATATAAATATTACGGCAAAAAGCATGACTAACATGTGTCAAAAAAAATATTTTTACTAAATTAATATTGTTTCGCCATGAATAAATTATTATAATCAACAATCTCTGGAAGGGTCAGGTTTTTTAATACAGTACTCGCTTAAGAATCTTATATAAAGTTATCGTTGAACGAAGGTTTCAATGATATTGGTATTTATATTATTAGTGAGATTATGATTATGTGAATGCTTTACCATCAGATGTCCTCTTTTAGCAATCCATTTATTTCTTTATTTCGAATTGAACTAAATGATAAGTTATTATTTTATATTTACATTGAATTGCCTATGTCGACGTAGGTACAACACTATTGTAGGCGAAGATCCGCCATTTTTGAGGTATTTTTGGCTTCAAATCACGTGACACGTGACCCCTATTATACATCTATGGTACAATTCAATGACTCTAAAAATATGAGAACAGGAACTGTGTAGGTACATCTTAGCATGCCAAAATGGAAAAACCAAATAGGTACACTTAAATAGTGTTTCTTTTGATTTGATTTCTTAAAACCAAACAATTTTCGAGACTCAAAGAATAATAATATACTTAAATAATTATTATTATACATTCCATGTGATGTCAATTAAAAGCAGAAAATTGTTTTGCCGTTACATTACATAATAATTAGTACTTATTACTGAGTAGGTCGACTTTTCAGAGTGCCGCAATTCTAAAACAATTCGAGGTATATCACATGTAATCACTGTAATAACAATCTCTGAAACACGTTTAACTTTTTTTTCACTAAAGGTGCTCCCATCCCACACATCAGTTTTATAACGTTAGAGACTAACTTATCATTTGTTTTTAAACAAATTACAACAAATTTGTAGTAGGTACCTATATATATAGTATCTTGACATGTTGTAGAGTAGGTATGTTACAAAATGTTATCATGTTACACAATGTGATATAACTTTATACAACTGCTGTGTGGAAGCACCTATATTGACATTTTAAAGGATCAAAAAAATTGTGAAAATATTGAACCAGGCAGTGATGTAAGCTTAGGATAACAGGAACCACAATCAATTTTTGTTACTTTTTCAGAAGCACAATTACCGAAAATAATACCTGTATCCTATCTATGATTATATAATGTCTAGATGGAGTGTCAGTTCACGAAATCGGTCCAAAAGTTTGCAGTGAACTGTTCACTGTTCACTGCATGCATTTTCCCGCCAAGTAAGTAGAGTACCAATTGTATTTGTTTGTGTCACCTACGTGTATGCACGCTACAAAATAAAATTGTAAACAAAAAAGGACACAGCAAAGATGGCCAATTGCTCCATAAAATTGTGCTAAAATTATAAATGACGGTTCAAAAGTACCTACTAAACAGATCACTTAACGTAACAAACAAACAAATTATTATAAAATATCAAAGTTACTCCAGGTATGACATACTAATTTTTGGGTTGCTATACTGATATTTTTTAATTTGCCGGGCTTTTTCAGTCTCTACTTTCGTTTGCCAGACTTTAGTGATACTTAATGATAATGATGATATTTAAAGCGCTACAAAAACAATCACAGTGACTGCATACATACATTAAACGAAGTTGTTTCAGTTGAAGTTTACCAGTAGTTACAGTACCACTGAAAAGAGTGCAAGTGCGAAGTGAATAATGTTGTATTCATGGTAGAATAAAAAAATAATTATTGAAACGATGTTGATTGTAGGTACGTAAAAGAGCGCATCATCGCTTACCACCTTGTGATTAGTAAATTATTTACTTATAAGGTGTAACTGTATTTATCGTATTAGGTCAGTGTATTACGTGTATTAGGTGCGCCTGTGATAAGAAAATGTCAGCTTACACCACCTCCCTGCTTGTTGTCCAATTGTCATTAATGTCATTTTCTGTTGTCAATTTGACAAATTTATTGACATCAAATTTTACTGGGATTAAACCATAGAAATTTTTAAAATATATAAAAATAATAAAATACTTCATATTTTTTATCAAAATAGGTAATTTATGGCGTAAATTCGGTCAGTCGGTCGTCATAGGGTTCCCTCTGCTGATAGTTTGTTTCCCTATAATAATCATGGCTTGGCGAAGTCATGGGGTAAATAATGCGGATATGATACGGAATTTACGAGGTAATAATTTTTATACGTATTTTTATTATTACACATTTATGCACGTTTTGAAATCTTTTTAATTCATGAATATATTTTTGATTTTATAATACAAAATTTAAACAAGTTTTCACAACATGCCAAGGTGTCATTGTATGTATAGATGTTTCGAAATTTGCCATCAAAAACTTTTAAACGCCGCAACATAAAATAATTAGTTTCCTTTCTATTATAAATTAAACACAATTAAGTGCTACTCTACCCAATACAATATGAGAATAAATTTATATAAACATGTATGGATTTTGATCTAAAGTATTTTATTTAATAAATAATTGCCACATTGAGGTGTTCTATTTACATATTGTATTTTGGTTGTAATATCATGTACTGGTAAATTGTGTTGCATAATAATTACATTTCTTACAGCCAATGGCATTATAAAATCAGATACAGTAGCAAATGCTATGCTATCAGTGGACCGGAAGAATTACTGTCCATATTCGCCATACCATGATTCACCACAAACTATTGGATACTCAGCTACAATCAGTGCTCCACATATGGTAAAGTTAATAATTTATTTTTGAAAAAATCTGGCACTGCATTATAGATTTTTTTTAATGATCTATGGCTTATTTTAGCATGCTCATGCACTAGAAAGGCTTAAGAATCAATTGATCCCAGGTGAAAAAGCATTGGATGTAGGATCTGGGTCTGGATACCTAACAGCCTGTATGGCTATAATGGTTGGAGAAACAGGCAGAGTTGTTGGCATAGAGCACATATCTGAGTTAGTTACATTAGCTACTAAAAATATCCATGCTGATAACCCCACACTACTTACTTCTGAAAGAATTAAGTTGATTGGTAAGTTTTATTTAATTGTTGAAACAGTAAGACACTGATGTATTGTAATTTGTAAACATTGTGTCATTTGTACCATCAGTTATGTGACAGTAAGAATGTTATGTTAATACCAGATGTTTACAATAATATTAGTGCAATTTAAGTAGGAAGAATTTATAATAATAGAAACATTATATGGTTCATTTTATTTCATTTTTACTAAGTATAAATAGCATTTTTAATATTGTGTCCTTGTTTTCTATAAGCTGGTGATGGACGTCTAGGATATCCTTCAGAAGGACCCTACAATGCTATCCATGTAGGAGCTGCTGCTCCTACATTGCCACAAGCAGTGAGTTGTCTTATGATTTTATTAAGTGCTTATTGAATAAATACTATTATTTTTTAGGTACTTGCCAACTAGTCAAATGCAATCCTTTTTTTGAACTGTCAAAAAGAATAGGTTTCTATGAATTTTGCACAAGATTGTGTGATTTGTGACAAATTCGCTGAAAAAATACCAAAATTACTTTGGGCATAAAATCAATTAATGAAAGTGTGATTATTTTTTAATATTTTATTGTATTGAACAGTCGAAATAATTTATTTATGATTAAGGAACATACCCAATTGCTTTCACTTTTTTTATGAATGTTGCAACAAATTAACTTGTTGAGTATGTAGTTATAGACACAATTAAAGAACAATAGGTTGCGGTCACCGGTGACCGCTTGGTGTTTGACAGTTTAAATTACTTTATTTATTATGTAGGTTAAGTGGAAATTAGTAAAATACTATTTTGACTTAATTTCCAGTTAGTTGATCAGTTAAAACCTGGTGGAAGGCTTATTGTACCTGTGGGACCAGAAGGAGGAGAACAGCATTTAACCCAGGTATTTCCCATAAATAAATATACATAATGCCAAGTAATATTATCTTTGAAGTGGTAGGCAGAGGTGAACAATTGTTACATGTGAAGATTGTTATATATTTTGATTGTAAACCAGATTACACGACATCCCTTACACAGCACTTACAGTCGTGGATACTTGACCAACTTGGACAAATAATAAACCATTGATAAATATTACCTGTATGAATTGTCTTAAACAACCCTAAATTTTTGCTGTTTCGTTTTTCAGGTTGACAAGGCAGCTGATGGTACAACCACTGTTAAGAAACTAATGAGTGTGATCTATGTACCCCTGACTGATAAAGATCGTCAATATCGTAAGTGATGTACATAACTCGGTTAGTTATTGTTTATTTCGTAAACAGTTATTATATTACTAAGACACCTACTGATGTATTGAAATTCCTGGTAATGTTGTTCAATTACCAACAAATTTTCTATTATTTCAAGTAGACATTACGAAACAAACTAAAAACTAATATGTACTTGATAATGTTTTACATCTTCTACTAAGCTTAGTATCGAAGTTTTCCTTAAGGTATATTCAATGTTTTAAATTTTTATAGACCTAAGGTTTACCTTAACGAATTACGTAAAATATTTTTTATAAAATACAACTGCATGCAATACAACTTAAATACAAATGCAGTAAAGTACAATAAATAGTATGTTTGATTTCAGGTCAAATGAAGACAATATATAATATGTTTAGGTTTTTTAAAAAACCATGACTTGTAGTTACTTTTCTATATATATATTTTTTTCATAAGATTATCGTAAGATACTTGCGAAGAGTACGAAGACAGGCTGTTCTTTGCAGGGGTTCCAAAATGTCACATTATTTGATTACACTATGTTATTCAGCTGAAAGAATGAATCATCAGTTTGTCTTACATAGAGCATCTTGGAATCTAAGCAAGAATGGCGGAGTTTCAACTGTTGAACCTAACTTTGTTTTAGGTACTTGGCGTTGATAGTATTTCCCAGTGTGCCCATTTTATTATTGATCGTAAGTGTACCCACATTGCACCTACTCTCTAAGTAGACAAATAATACTATATCATCCAAAATAAATTATTGTATTATTAACAACATAACTGTATAATATTTTATGGTTTGAAATAAATTATTATTTTACAAAATTATTTTCTTTTATTTGGAAATTTTCTCCCTGTGAATTTCTTTTTTCCATATTTCTCATCTTTATTAGCATCTGCAGGGCTTGGCTTGACATGTAGTATGGAATATAAAGTTGATGCTTCATTTTTGTTCTCAATGATTGCTTGCAGATCATCCTGAAAAAATAATAATACATGACATTAATAAAATTGCTATTGACACCCTTTAAATTGTCACTGTCATGAATTTATTTTACTGAACACAACACACTTGAGTAAGTGTAATGAGATGGTCCAATGATATGCCTCTGTCCAGGATTCTAGCAATATTCTTGGAACTAACTCCCGGCAACTTTTGCACGAAATCGTGGACTAGAATGTTGTAACGCTCATAATGCATGTCTTCCGCAGTATTGTCACCACTGAGGGCAAGAGCCTCTTCGACATTGGGATTTTTTCTACCTTGCTGTAACAGAAAATGAATGTGTGTGGTATATCTATTAATACAAATCAATGATACATAAAACTAACAAAATATTTTAGACATACTTTTAATTCATAAAACAATTCGGCAGTGGCATAAGGACTGGGTGACCACACTAGCTTCAAACGAGGGAAATGTATTGTAAGCAGTTGTAGCTTTTGTTGTATATCAGCTCCTGATATGTCTGTCGACACCACAAAGTGACCCTAAAAATGGTTTAAGAGTACAGTTTATTTTATATCAATTTGAAAATAATTAATAATAATAGATTTCAAAAATATAAATAGGTATGTACCTGCAGATTAAACGGTTTATTCTGGTCGAATTCAATAAGCAAAATGGGTCGACTGTAGTTTCGACACATTTGTGTACATTGAGTATAAAGTCGCCCTGAGTTTAGAGATCCAATCAAATCAGAAATTGATTTCCTTTCAACACAGATGTCTGGAGTTAGAATATAATCACCAATCTGGAAATCGGCGAGGAATATGCAATACATTGGAATATTTTGTACCTTTAGTAATAATATATTTTGTACTAGCTTCTGCCCGCGACTTCGTCCGCGTTGAATAACTTCTAGCATATTTTTAGTTTTACCCACATAATTCCCAACACGGTGAATTTTCGGGAAGTTATCGCTACCCTGGGATTCCCGGGATAAAATCTCTCATATCTAAATAAATCTATCCTATGTCCTTTCTCGAGTGTCAAACTATGTCTAAGTACATCCAAATCGGTTCAGTAGTTTAGGCGTGAAGGACAGACACACAGACAGAATTACTTTCGCATTTATGGCATTGGATTGAAATACAATAAACACAGAATTTTGATGAAAGCAACACATTAAAACAACTCAAAAACCGATTAAGTATTGATTTTCAGCGCGCCACATATCGTCAGTTCCTGACAATCTTCTTCAGTTACTTATAATGAATCTGTAGAGGTCAAATCTGTACATGAAATATAAAAAAAATAGCTGTTTAGCTGTGCCCGCGACTTCTTCCGCTTGGTAGTGGATATTAATAAGGATAAAAATTACAGCAATGCTTGTTTGTACACAACATTAGTATTGTATTGCCTTCTGGAATCAAAGCATATAAGTTTCTGGGATCGCTCACGCGTAGGGTTGCCACCCGTACTTTATAATAAAGTATTGTACGTTATTTAAGGTAATTGTACTCTATACTTTATAAGAATAATAAAGTACACAAAAATACTTTATATTTTCTAACTTCATTTCTATTAAAGTCGTAAGTATTTTTCGGTACACTTATCGATTCGATATCGATATTTATCGATTTATGTTGAATCGGTAACTTGCTGGCGCCACTTAGACAATTTCTAGTAAAGATGCAATTGTTTGGTAAAAGTACTAATTTAATACAAACTGCAAAAAGCAATAAAAATATATTTTCAAATATAAAACCTACTAAATAAGAATAATTTGTACTTTATTTTTGTACTGTGTACTTTTTTTTCTTACCTATAATCGTCAATGTACTTTAAATACCAAAGAAAAAGGTGGCAACCCTACTCACGCGCGACAAAGCTAGTTAAAGCTACATAAAGCTGACCGTGCGAATGCTAGCCTGACGTGCATGAGATGCAGTAAGTATTGCTGCATGATTCTGTTCAGATTTCTGTGATCTAATTAATGTCATCATTTTAGCATCTAATCTCAGCCAATGTAGCAGACTTTGGTTGAGATTAGATTTTTCGAAGCATTCTCACAAACTATGAAACAACTATTTTATTAACCAATTAAAGTAATGTAAGTAAAACAACAAACTAAACTAACAATAAAACTAAATTAAAAACTTACTACTACTTACTGCTTAATTATTTTATTAAGAAAATGTTTTTTTTTTTACAGCGTAAGCCGGTAAACGAGCAGACGGATCACCTGATGGTAAGCAATCGGCGTCGTCACCTGGAACACCTAAGGCGTTACAAGTGCGTTACCGGCCTTTTAGAGATTAGCAGTTTGAGAATCGTTAGGGATTCAGGATAGGGGTAATTGGGCCTCCGGTAACCTCACTCATACGACGAAATACAACGCCAGCGTTGCTTCACGTCGGTTTTCAGTGAGGCCGTGGTATCACTCCGGTCGACCTGGCCCATTCGTGCCGAAGCATGGTTCTCTCACACTTATTCACGTTGAACGTTCATTAATGAAATGAATTAACGTTCAACTATTATTTTACCTTCCTTACGAACGTCAAATTCTTACTGCGTAGCCGTAAGGCCCGTACGCCGTAGGTAGGTAATTATGTATATCCAACCAGCACCACGAACAGTTACCATAAACACGGATTACGCCATGCCACCCATGACTTCCAGGAAAGCTAGGTTCTCCTAATCAATAACGACCAAGTGTGATCTGTCAGCAACTGTTTGTCCTAATCAGCTTATCACTTAGCTTTAGCTCTTTAGCCCACTGTGAGGTCTAGCCACGGACACATACATTCACACACATACAAACCTTTCTCTAGTATCTAAGATGATGTAGGTAACATAGATTTAAGGTTTCATTGGCATTATTAACGCCAATAACCGCATGTGTACTGTAATTAATTAAATAAATATTTTTTTATTAAAAGTCTTTAGCGTCCATATTTGACTAGGTTCTAACACAGAAATATTCACAACAAAACAAAATAAAAACTAAACTAATGAAAAGACTGCAAAAACCTTAATAATTGAAATATTTAAAAAAAACACTTTTAAACACAATAACAATATTAATTATCACAAACTAGACATACGAAATGTGGCTCACTAAAAAGAAAAGATAAGTACAACTTTTTTGATCAAAAGAGCTGTATCACTCTTTTAGCTCACCGAATAACTCTTTGAAGTCTTCAGCTCAATTGATGAATTGACACTTGCGACGCAAACGCATCGACAATCAAACAGTAACATCAGGATTAGAACCTTTTAAAAAAAAACCTGCACGAAGGAAAGCTGCCTGGGAGGGTCATTATTTTCACAAAAATCCTCCACGATTTAGGATTGTAGAGTAGCGCCAGTTAGCGAAATCAAACGGAAACTACGAAGAAATTTAAACCTTTTTTTAGGGGGGAAAATCATCGAATAGCTTCTCCCGCCTGGGTGAGGCGGGAGGGAGTCTCAGACTCTTACTGACTAAAATCCACCCCGTTCCTATTCCTGCACTTTGAGCCGGAGCCCCGGTAAGGTTAAGTTCTCCGCGGCTCCATGTAAATTTATACTGTTGCGCTTTGAGTTTAATATATTTTGAATGGAATGTATCCGACATTCACATGACTAATAATTAGTAGGTGTTAAACAGACTTGAATATGAAAGTATTTATTACGACAGAAACGATGAATACAACATTGTGACATTTTAGTTTTAATGATTGATGTGATGACGCAATTCTTTAGATTGACATTATCTTTTTTATTTAATAAACCGATTTACACAATAAAAAGACTAAATATTAATCCCAGCAAACCGAACCGCATTGAATTAGGTTAAGCCGTTTTTTGAGATTAGCCCGAACAAACGTACAGACAAACAGACAAAAATTCTAATAATCATTGTTTTGGGTTCTATTGCGTGTAAAAAGTTTTGCCTTATAAAGTTTTTCTGTTTATTTTCCATGTCCAGACTTTTACAATTTTAGTCTATGTATTGATATAAATATGCTTACTGCTATAGTGACAGGTTCAATATTGATTCCTTTTTTGTGGAGTAACGCTGGTAGGTCTGATCGGAACTCTCTCATATCAACAATTACAACTGGTTTATCTTTTGTCTGATTTTGTCCACCTGAATAAATGAAAACTTGTTAATGATGAAAATTTCAATTTTGAGTAACAGATTCAGCTGATAACAATAATTTATATGAAAAATAGTTGAGTAATAATTTATTACCAGCTTTTCTAGTGTCCAAGGTATTGTCATCATGTTCCACATTCAAATTAAAATACTCTTCTGTTTTACCATCTTGATATGATGGGACTACCATTACCTAATAGAAAACAACATAATATAAATGGTATGATTTTATAAGATTGAGTTCTTCTCTATTAAGAAATAACTATATTCAAGAACATATTAATGCTGTAGACACATAGCTATAAAGAGCGATGTAAACCAACATGTTTATCACATTGCCAGTATTGATTAGTGTTCTTGCAACTCTTAGTACTTACACTCTTTGTTTGAATTAGAAGCTCGAATGCCTGTTTCTCTCTCTTTAGGGATGTGAGATAGGCCTGTTCTTCAACAGTTTTATCATGTATCATAAAATATACTTTAGTTTTTGGCTCTTCTATCTTCTTACGACATTCAAACAGTTCTATCTGCCTCACAGCTGCCACGTCGCAGTGATATAAAACTACATATTCAGGACGTAAGGCGTCTAATGTTCGTTCTAGAGAAAAATTACAGCCACTCTCTTTGAATGTCTGTATGCAAATGA